TTTGACGTCAAAATTACCATTCTTGAAGCGTTGAAACCACTCACGATACGTTTTTTCACTAATAGCAGCCTCACAATAAGTATTTGACAGCATTCGATGAGCCTCAGCCGCAGATTTCTTCATATTGAAGCAGAAAATTGAAACCTCCCGCAAATGGCGAGAATTTGGCTCGTAAACTGACATTTTCAATCGAGAATAACTTTATGATGCAGACACAGATCGACTAATGTTTCTATGGGGTTATGTTGGCAAATGCCCAAGTTTATTGTATGACGTTTATGATCTATTTATTTCGACCACCACTTACCGTTAAAGCCATCTATAGGAAAACAGCGGAAGTAAAGTTGTATACCTAATATAATTATAAATAAAATTATGCAATATTGTGTATAAGCAAATTTTTTTACACTTTTCCAAACTTGTTTTTTTCTAAAACGAACAATGCAAAAATTATCCTTTTAATTATTTTTTGTTTTCACATTACTATTGTTATTTCTAATACACTAAAAAGTAATTTTACGAAAGAAAGGGTGATGTATGAATATATATGGACATATTTCATACATGATTATACATATTTATGAATATTTATATACATGTTTATACTTATTTATATATATTCTATCGTTCTCTATCAACGTTTTGACCAGAGCACGGCGTAGCGAATGACAGATTTCCTAACCTAACAAACTGTAACGATTAATTTTTATTTGAATGACAGAACAATACTTCTTTTTGCTGAATTCGTTCGTTTTGTGCAAAAACACGTCGAATGAACCTAGTTTTATCGAGATTGGACATAAGGGAACTAAACTTTACCACTGAGGTAAATCTTTTTAAAGAAATAAAATATTGTCATTCTTTTTTAAGAAATGAAACATTTTCATTCTTTTTCAAAACTGACTGTATTTTCATTCTTTTAGAGTGAGATATTCCAAAAAGTTTGAGAGTAGGTACTATCAGAGTCGTCACTAAATTAGTCATATAGCCCCGTGTTATGGTTAGCCTACATCCGTTCATTTTTTTTTTTTAATATTAGCAGTATACGATAACAAAGATAAGTAAACAAAAAAAAATTCTTGGACTTTATTAAGTATGAACTACACTTACTAGGGCTGTGTTCCAAATTTACTGCCAGCACTGAAAATGCTACAGTTTACGTTACATGCACTATAGATTTTCAGTACTGGCAGTCAATTTTGGAACACAGCCTATCTAAATGGAAATCAAATATCTCGGACAATTATATACGATTGTAAAACAAGAGAACTTTAAAAATAAAAATATTTACTTACGAATACTATTTTTAAAAATTGTAGCATAACTTTTACGACAGACGCGTCGAGATATCACATCAGACAGCGGTAGTCGCTGCTGGGTGCTCAGACACGTTTACGCGTGCCTCGCGCGATTTGTTTGTAACGTAGCCTTGAGTATTCTATTTAGTTTACTGACTCCGGTCTCCCCTACAGTTTCTGAGAAATAAAGAAGTGTCGCTTTAGAAGACCTACGTCGGTATCGGCGACTTTCCTCTATTTAAAGTAAGTTTTTTTTGCTGCGGCGTACATACTGAAGTTATCTTATTTTTTTATATGGAAATATGCATTTTTTCTTTTATTATGAAAACCGAATAATAATTTTAAAAAATTACAAAGAAAAATTTCGTACTGAAATTTAGACTGAAATAGTAATAATTAAGTAGATGTTAGTGATTATTATAAAATAATCTATATTGCATGCGTTATTTAAATAAAATTTTGATTAACACACAGAAACAGTTCTTTTTAATAAAATATCTTCTTTCATCTTCTTTTTAAACTCGAAAGAAGTGCAAGTAACCGTACACAATCAAGCCATTACGCTCATTACGCATCATTGGATTTTTTAAATTGTTTAATTATTTTATAACAGAATTTCCAAGCTTCAAAAACAAAAAAAGACTAACTTTGAAGAAGTTAATAGGGTAAAATTAATGTATTCTACAACACACAAAACACAACACACACAACACACAACACAACACATAACAAGTTGAAGTTAAAAATTAACTAATTTAAAATTAATTTAGTTATCTAAAAGTTATAAACTTTTGAAGCTTATCATATAACTTTTAACTTTTTTATACTAATAGCTTCCCAACCTTTATTTTGTATATTTAACTTTTATATACATGACCAATTATACCTGTTGATATTCTCAATTATTGTAGTGCAATTTATGTTGCAGATGAAAAATAACTGAGCTTTTTAATGACAAACCGCTGTTTATATTAACATCACCTCTTATAGTATAGATTGTAAGAGGTGGTATAATTTGATATCATTATCGATTTCATCTACATTACTGACTAAAAGTTTTAGACTATTAATTAATTGAAAATGTTTGTTATGTACATAAAAATGCAACTTATAAATTATAATCTAACGTGTTTTAATTATTTTACTCATTTAATAATGAAAAGAAGAACATTATTTTTACCGATAAAAAACCGTCCACTAAATTTCAGCACAAAGTTGTAATATCTTTAAATAGCGATAACTCAATGAAAAATCATCCTATCGAGATAAATCAAAGCTCAAATTAAAATTCGGACATTCTCGTTGATAGCCTTGAAAATCAAATTTGAGTTTCACAAAGTAGACTATAAAATGGCGTACATTAAAGGCAAACATTGGAAAATAAGAGAAAAAAATTTATGTTTAAATTATTGCATTGTTTAAACGAATCGGCTACATGGCACAAAAATGTATGAATTTTTAAGCGCATTAATTTCTTGACAAATTCAGATTTTAAACATTTTTTTACTAATTTTTTTTTATAAAGTTGTGCCATTTTAAAGAAAATGTTACAAAACGAATAATTGATCTTGTATAAACTCAGAAATAAATTATTATAGAAAACTTTATCAGAAAGGAAATTAAAAATCATTTTAAAACTCGTGTAAGAGCTTGTATATAGCTTCTGTAACGTAAATCAATTTTTTTCTTTGTTAATCTTAATAGTATCAAAATATTATCTTTGATATTTTATAACGATAACAGAAAAATAACTGAAAAATAATTAAAAAGTTACATTTTGAGAAACTATTGGTGCATTTCGTTTCACACATGACGTGCATGATGCATCATTTACCCTTGTTACCGAATACTCAAAAAAAATATTCTGCCGTTTAGCGGTTCCGTATTAAATGTCAGAGGATTTTCCATTTATATATAATCTCGAGAGGATACTCTCCAAAGTAGAGGAATTTCGTTTACCCATGACAGGTTGGCTTTAAGATTGCAATCCTCTTAATAATAGAAGAATCTCTTTGCTTGAATTAAATATCATATTTACTTGTAATAAGAAAATTATGGTTATATCTTAATGAAAAAAATAATTCTTTTGTTATTATTGCTTTTTATTTTTCCAGTTTAATTTATATTTTTACTGTTTCGCATACTTACATTCCGTCTTATTAACTACAATTAATTATTGAAAAACGTGTCGCATCGCCGGCGCCGGTAAGATTTGAACCTACGATCCCTAGAACGGCAAACCTAATACATTTACGCTGAGCTAATCGCACGCTTGTGATCGAGTCATTGCCAACGGTATACCTCCTACTGTAACTATTCTTAATTTCATGATGACAGTTTC